GCTCTGCATGACCTGGGCTGGCTCAGTGAATTGTGTGTAAAATTGACTCGGAAGCATCCAGATCTGCTACTTACTGTAATTCATCCTTGTGTGGTCAGATGATAAAAGGTCCCACAAGTTACAAGTTTAAGCCTCGAAAACAGCAGCTAATAACTGCACGTTGTGCTTCATGTGTACAGCACTCTCCTTAAGCTTTAACTTCAGGGGAGCAGTAATCAAGGGTTTTGCTTTAAGTGCTCTGACAAAGTTTCTGTAGTATAGGGCATAGCTCATTTATGCCTTTATACCGACTGATTCAGGTTTGTCTCTGATGTTCTCCCCTCTTCATTTCACATCATGTGTTGTTAAAAAAAGAGAGAGGTATTAGTCCCCATGTTCACTCTGGAGAAGTAAAAAAAAAAAAACATCAGCAGTCCTTCAGTGAACACGGTTCACCTTGATTTAAAATGGAAGAGCTGATATTAAACCGTGGTCTTCCATAGTCCGGTGCCCGAAGGTCCAAAACAATTCTTTGAGTTGGTTTAAAAAGTGCAGACATGTTTCTGAAGTTTTGCAACTCCCCATCCTTTTGTGCTTTTACGGTGCAATCTTGTGGGAGGATCGTTTGAAAATTCTGCTAACTGGAATCATCCTGCATGATCCCAAAATCCAGATTTGTTCATAAACAAACAGCTGATGGTGAGTGTGACAGCACAGGATAAAGGAGGACGTTTTTAATGGCGGTTATATACAAGGTTAGGCCTTTTAAGATGTTTTTCCATAAAAGACGAGCAGGACTCTCTGTCTTCATTCCAAGTCTTCTTTCCTGGAGTGGATTAGAAGTGGCAATATTCTCTGTCACAGTTATCCACCCTTCAGTTGCAGACCACAGACTATTATAAGATGTAAAAAACACTGCAATATTTTCATGTAGTTTTAAGTGTCTTTTCACTGAAAAATAAAAACAAAATTAAATGCACCGTTGCTAATATGCGGTCACACGTAAAATGCTCACGGAGTCCTTAAAACCCAGCAAATGTTTGGTTTTTGTGCCTGAAAAATACAACTGAGACACGATCAATACTCAACCCTTTTTCCCATCAACTGCTTAATTTGCGAGCGATCAATAAAAGTTAAGACTGCACTGACAATAAAAGCCCCATTACAATTTTGCACAAGCACTCGAGAAATTAGGGCTCAGCTGGAGTTCTCTGCAGTTGTCCAAATATGATGCTCTTGAATAACAAATAAAGCATGTTGTGGGGTTATGACCGCATTTAAATTTGCTACGGCAAGAGCTCGGAGGACAATCAAAGACTCGTTTGTCCAGCTTAACTAAGCTGAAGAGAAACAACCACCACGGGAACATCTCCTGCATGCTTATCTAAGATAAAGATCTTTGTCTTCTGCATTACAGTCTATTATTTAATTTGCCACTCATTACATGTCTGCAGCTTTGGCTTGCAATATAAAGCTCCCATCCTTTCTCATAGGCTACAGCGCTTTATGAAATCTCCTTATCTTGTAATATTCTTTTCAAGATAACAACCTCTGGTAAATAGAGTCTTATTCCGATGTGCGATGTATATATTGCCAGTAACAACTGCTTCATTTTCATGTTTCATCCTGTTAAACAGAATCCAATATGCTAACGCTGTCCTGTGGAGTCCTCCGCAGAAGTATAAGAAGTCTTTTTAATTAATGCTAGCAATCAGAATTTTATAGAAAAGGTCCTTTTTCCACAAAAACCCTGTAACAGAAGAAAAAGAAAGACTACGGCCCACCAATGGCCTCCTTATACAAGACCACAAGTCTTTTCCCTCCATCCCAACAACAGCTTCCATTTACCTGCTAATTATTCCTTTAATTTGGGAGTCTTTCTCCACTTGCTGCTGCCGTAGCCTCCTCTCACTGTCCTCGAGACGATTCTGGTACTGTAGGAGGATCTTGTTGGTCTGCTGCTCCTGCGTGAGGAGCCTCCGTTCATACTCCTCCAGCTTTTTGTGGGACATCATCAAGCGCTCCTTCAGGGAGTTGATCTCCTCCTCGTACTCCCGTACCTGAGGTAGAGATGTGAAAAGAATGATAAATTAGAGCAGTTTATTGCGACGCTGGTGCGTACATGCCTTGCTTTCTTGGTCACTGCAGTGCCTGGTGGATTTGAGTTCTCTAAACACATTCATGAAAGCATTGGAAACCACCTCCAGATATTCAAATTAGGCTGGCTGCCTTTATAAAGGCTGAGCTACAGTAAATATACCAAACTGCAGAAAAAGAAAAATAATGCAAACAAGTTGAACATTTGGCTCATGGCTTTTGTTTCCCACAGTTTGAGACCTCTGGACTTCTGCGTCAAGATCAAATCTGAGTGCCATCTGCTCAGAAATGACAGACATAACTCAATGTTCCTCTGACTTCAACTGAAATGTTAATTAAATACTTAAAAATGAAACCTACCCTATCCATGCGTGACTCATCCATGCTTTTTGAGTACTCCTTAAGTTTGAATTCCTCACGGTCAATCCGAGAACTTTCAATGTCAGCGGACAGATGAGGCATGTTGGAGACCCAGGCCACCGTCCGCTCATTGGCTGGCGTTGGGGGATTGAGGGTAGACGGAGTCTGGGAGCCCTGGGAAGAAAGGTCAGCACACTGAATATGAGAATATGAATTTTTAATTGGGTGAAAGTCACTTGCATAAATTTGGTGCACGATGTTACCCAAAAAGCCTCAGTGCTACACGAGCCCTGGTGGCTCCCAAGCTCTTAATCTTGAATGTCAGTTTTATCCCCTAGATAAGCTAAACCCTGACATCTTACACGTTGTTGTTGACAAATAGCTGTGAGCACAGGTGCGAAAGAAAATAAATATAGATAAGTTAGATATTAGGAGAGTGTGCAGCAGTTACCTGTTTGCTCATCGTGGGTTTGAGCAGGTGCTGCTGTTGCTGAGGCTGCTGCTGTGGTGACTGTTGAGTGCTCTGACTGGTGGTTCCCTGCGGACTCTGGCTTTCCCTGACAGAGCTCTGCTGGTGGGGCAGGCCCGGGGCAGTGTTGTCTTTGACGGAGAGCTGCCGGGGCCCGTGCTGCCTGCCGTAGCCGGATTCCGGCGACTGGAGAAGGTTTCCGCTTTGCGGCCTAGTTTTTGCAGGAGCAGAGGGTGCAGCAGCTGCGCTGACGGACAGCTGATGGGAGGTCTGGGATTTGACACGCTGGGTGGGAGGCGGAGCAACAGAACTCTGGCGCATAGGTTGGACTGTGGAGGGAGGTGTGGTGGCCAGGGAGGAATGGGAGGTTCCCGTCTGGGAGGCCATGCCCATCATTTGTTGCTGTTGGAGATTATCCTTGAAAAACACGTGAATGATAAATTAACATTTATACTAATTCACTTATCAGATTGGAAAAAAATTCAGTGGGTTGCCACGCTCGGGTAAGTTGCCTCAAATACAGAAGTTCAGTTCGAATGATGAATTGATGTGTTTCAAGCATTTTGAGATTCAGTCTATGAAGGTGATGTAACAGTAGAAATATGGAGTTATTATTCATCTCTTCCACAGTGTGCCTTTTGCCT